TGGGGGGGGGGGTTGGTTCTGATGATCCTGTGGCTGTCAGCACCTCCCCCATTACGTTTTTACGACTGTGTACTGCCCCCATACCATCACCATAATATATAGTTTTTTGCTGCTTAACGATGCTTGAAAGTTCATTTAAGCTTGAACTTTCACATTTATCAAAACAGGACTCGTGAGTGACAGCGTCTTGTTTGCCGATGTTCCTGCACCCGATGAAATACAAAGCTTGAAACAAATAATAATCATCATTTGTCTCATTTTACCCAGGTGGACACAGAGCCTTTTGTTGGCCTTTAGCTGAAATGAGGCCATTCCATCTATGGCCCCTAGGAGGCGTCATTGAGCAGTAGGGCAAAGGCACCCATGTTGGGGGTGATGAAAATCCTTCAGTTATCTGCTGTCTCCTCGCCCCCCCTGATGTCAGGAGAAACAGTGACCTTGTACAATCCTTTAATGTAGCTTCAGGATTCTGTTCTTGTACGATCATTTTTTATAATTTAAGCAGGTTGTTACATCACACTGGCCTGTGGAATATTGAGGCACAGCATAAGAAAACTGCTTAGTCAAATGGTCTGACTCACATCACACATGACACAAGCGCAGTGGTACACAACAAGGGGCCATTATACTGGCTGATTATCCAGCCAGCATGGGTGGCAAACTGGCAACGATCAAATGGTTACTGGGGTTAGAAATAAATATGCCATAAAACAAGACAAAACAAATCTGCCCTCAATAAAAACTGTTAGTGTGTAGGTTTAACATCCTGATTGGCTACCTGCACCTCTGCCCAGATACTGGAGCTTGTCCTGTGATTGGCCGTGCCGGGGTGGGCGGCCCGTCCAAATAAGGAGTTATCACTGATTAGTGCTGCTGAGGCTATATCTGCTCTTTCCGTGTCACCGTGGCTGGCTGACACCCCAAAGCTGACAGTGTCGCGACCACGTACTCCGTGATTTTACCTTGCCGTATCATCCAGCCACCATAGCCGCTCCCTGCATCTCATTCTTACCCATAATGCATCGGTAAAGGGCTTAGAGAGATATCATAGCCAGAAATGTAAATGTGCTCATCAGGAGGACCTGGAGATATGTCTAGATGAATGGCCTGTAATGGACATTCAGATTGGAACTATAAGGGTGGGGAAGTGTGAGTTAGTGACTCTGGGAGCCACGCATCCTGTGATCAGCTGTGATCTGATTGGTGCAGGTACAGGCTTGTTTAGGTCGGAAGTAGAGCAGATCTAGACAGGAGATGTGGGTTCAGCGTGATTCCTGTGTGGCCACATCACAGATCGTATGTTAATTGTAGCCTGTAGAGGATAATTCTCTTCTCTTTTATTGATTAGTCTAGAGCAGGGGTCACCGACATGGTGCCCGCGGACACAAGGATGCCCAAAAGGACCACATGAGCCGCCCGCGGGCATGTTCTAAAAGTAGCACAACTCACCAGTGAGCAGCGTCTAAAATGTAATTTTATCCTGTTGCTATTCTTCTTTAATCACACATGGTGATTTGAAAATGACAATATCTAAAAAAAAGCATTTAAAACATGTTAATTATATATGAAGTTTAGATAAGTTTAGGTAAACTCTGTTCTATTCTAGTTCAAAGGTCAGTATTGTGTGCCTGACAAAACTTCAGCGTTCCTGGAGAGTGGGGAGGTGGGGAGCTGAATGCGGTTTCTTATCCCAAAAACATGGCAGAAAAAATAAAGAAAATTTATAATTTTCACAGTGAATGGGAGGAAGAGTTCTTTTTTACTACTGTGAAAGAAACCTGCGTTTGTCTCATTTGCGGGGCAACTGTTGCGGCGATGAAGAGGCACAATGTGGAGAGACACTTCACTACGTGCCACAAAAGCTACCACGCTAACTACCCACCAGGCAGCGCGCTACGGGCGGCAAAAGCCCGCCAGTTAAAGGCAGCTTTGGGCAAGCAGCAGTCTTTTTTCAACAAGACCGGCGAAACACTCTCAAAAAGCAGCCGAAGCCTCATTTAGAGCTAGACATTTTCTGATAAAGAAGAAGGCGGCATGTTCAGATGGGGACGTTTTCAAAGAAGCAATGATGATAATTGCTAACACTGTACTCAAAGACGAGAAAAATGGAAGCGATCTAATCTCCTCTCTCTCCGAAGTTCAACTGGGGGCATTTACGATGGCTACACGGGCGTCTGGGTTATGTCTGGGTTTGTCGGTGGTTAGTGAAAATGGGACATGGTGATTTCCCAAAAATGGGACATTTCCCATGAAATGTTATAGAAGTGTTCTTTCAAAAATGTAAACAATTGCTGAGATTAATATAAAGTGTTGAATATTGATATTATCTGTTTCCCACCTTGTTAAGTCATTGTTGATAAAATCATAAACGTGATTAGTGTCTTCACATAGATGAGTATCATTAATCATTAATCATAACATATAACTAAAGGTAAACTAAGCAAATTTGTGATTTAAGAAGAGTGTATCAAACTGGTAGCCCTTCGTATGGCTCAGCACCCGTGTAGAAGCTCTTAGTTTCAAAAAGGTTGGTGACCCCTGGTCTAGAGTGACTTCTGCCTCCATGACGCTCTAAAACTCATGTGTGTCTCCACTCTGTGGCAGCCCCGGGCCGCCTCAGCTCACCGCTGCAACACCTCCAGCACCAGCACCGGCAGCAGAAGGAGCGGGATGTGGAACCGGCTCGCCCCAAGAACCAGCAGGACAAGGGCCCGGTTCATCCCCGTCCCCAGACCCAGCAGCAGAAGAAGCCTGATGCGACGCCGACTCGCACCTGCCACCAGAACCAGCATAGCACGGTACCGGGTCGCTCCGGTCGCCAGAACCATCAGCAGGTCCCCGACGGTCATCAGCCACCATCCCCACGTGGCCCGGTCCGGTCCCCCAAGCCCTGCCTAGGCTCCAGCTCCCCACCTCGCAAGCAGAACCAGCCTTCGGTCCAGAGACAGCCGTCGCCCCCCACCCCAAACGCACCCCGCCAGGTAAGCAGTCTGAGGTGGGGGGAGGGGGATTTATGCGCGACAATTCAAACAACTCTTTCACTGACCAATAGTGAAACCTTGCCTGTTTCTCCTTTACGTGTCCAAGACCTCTGACAGATGATCACATGTACATGGAATCACTGATTATGCTGTTCCGGGTGCCATGGACGGGAATGCCAGTCAGGAATAATGGGATGGTGTGTTGGTCTTTGCAGTAATACCTGAACCTGCCCACAAGCCCGGTGTACCTTAAGGTCGCCTTCAGATCAGACTCTAGGATGTGGAATGATTCAGTAATTGAAAACCATGGGTTGGTTCTGGATGAAAGCAGCCAGGGGGCCTTTCTAGAGACTCTGGGGACCTTAGGCAAAATAAACACCACAAGCCCCCCAAACTCACCCTCCCTGACATGGTAAAACCTGTGACCATTATTGCAGCATGAAGTCTAATGCTATCAATACAGAGGACTTAATAAACACAAGTCCTTCGTTTTCACTCTTGTTTTTTAAAAAACACAAAAACAAATTTGTCGCTGCAAAGTACTCTGTAACCGGCCGCCCTCGGGGACCCCCTCCCAGCTCGGGGCCCCAGGCCTGTCCCCGTCGCCACGCCCCTGTCTGGTGCAGGTGGCGTTGATTTGAATTCATCCCAATCATCATGCACAGCTCATTGCCTTCCGGAATAAAAGTATGATCTTCTCAGCCTCTGTACCACTCCTACCTTGAGCCCTGTGTGTGTCCGCCCCGCCCGTGCCCCCATCTGCCCGGCCCCATCCCGGCTGTCTGGCCTCCTGTCTGATGTCCGTTTCCCTCCATATCCCCGGTTCTGGTTCTGGAGGAGCTGCCCCAGGAAGTCTGCTCAGGTCCATTCGTCAGTGTCAGCCGCTAATTGGGTTGCGCGGCCCCGCTCCTGAAGCCCGCGACGAGATTATCCATTTGTTATTCCTGCACCTCTCTCCCCCTTGTCAAAAGGCTGGAACACTTCCAGAGGACAAATAGTGTCCGGCTTAATAGCCCCCTGAGTCCTGATGTGTTGGGGACGGAGGGGGGGGGGCATACCCAGGAACATGGCCTCTTTGTGAATGATTGATCCCCCCCACCCCTACCCTCACCGTCTGGAGAATGCCGTACCCCGCCATTAGACGCTCAAGTGTGATCTGCAGTTAAATTTCTGAAGCTCACACCCCCCTGGGTCTCTTAGAGCCGCCCTGATGCATTTCCTGCACTAATTTTCGATGCAGCGTTTTGATGGTTTTGTTTACAGAAGGACCAACACGCTGGCATCGGCAAGCTTCACATGCAAGAGTTGCGTTTGCTTCGATATCGATGTCTAGTATGAGAATCTACAAAAATCTACTTCTCCTTCTATTCTACTTGCAAGTTCTACATTTCGTTCCTGCTGTGCTGATTGGTCTGACAGATCACAAGTGACATCACCCCTTAGACATATGAGGACGACTCGCTCTAGATAGGAAGGCGAAGATAAACACGTGACAGAGGAGTCATGTTTCGCAGTGCAGTATTATGAGGGCTCCCAAGGTTCGAGGGACGTCCCTTGTCACTCCTCATTTGTCAGCATTTTTATGGGGTTTTAATTTGTTCTTCCGAGGGGATGCAAGATTCATAGTAAATGACTCAGTGACAGTTGTAGTTAGCAACAGGTGAAGAATAAGTTACGGTGTTAATTTGCCTTTAGGCTCCTCATGTCAGTGAGGCCCACTTCTTTTTTAATTTACCCTGTCCGCTAAATCACTTCGGCGAACTAATTCACTTCCTGTGGGAGTCGCTCCTCGTCCAGAAGCAAAGAACCAGTGATGGTGTCACAGCGCCGCCCTGGTGGACGCTGGCATTCACCCTATCAGGGTATAATGCGGTCACTTAGATGCCATGTTGTGTGCCCAACCTGTTCCTTCTCCTGTCCCTTATCACGGGAGAACGCTGTCACCTGTCTGTCCTCTACCGGAAGGGCTGGCGAGGAGATTAGCGAATTAGCCTAAGTGTTTAATGGCTGACCGGCGAGCCCGGGGCAGGAGGATCCTCGGAGCGGTGATTGATGAGTGCCGTGTCTCTCCATGGCTGCCGAGCCCCGTCACTCTGGAATTTATCTTAATTAGATCGGAAAGACCTGACACGACAGCGAGGCTCAGGCGATTAAAATGAAAAACAGGAGGAATTACCGGTCAGATTAATCATAATGTCAGACTACAGCTGTAGTGCCGCTGTAATTTGCCACTCCAGTGAGTTATGTCAGCCAAAGCGGCGGCGGGGATGGGGAGAGCCGGTGGCAGCCCTGGGGAGAGCGCTCGCGGGGGTCAGCTGACAGGAAGTGAGGTCGTAGGGCAGAGTGACCCTGCTGATGGGTGTCAGCATGTTTGTAGACCAGGCGGTGGGCGGCACTGGCAGCCAAATTGTCCTCCATCCCCAGCTCCATTGTGTTTTACGTCATGTGATTACGCTATGAACTGCACCTCCTTGCAGTGCCGCACCTCCTGCGGTTCAGCAGCTTTGCCTCCATCCAGGTACGCCCTCATCCCGCAGTCCTGTGGCCCGACGGAGCCCCATCAGGGCCTGACGTTCTAGCAGCTCTTACACGCCGTCTCTGTCACCCTCGAGGGTCTTCAGGCAGCTTTGTCTACCTGCAGCAGAAATCCTTCTACGCCCGCCTTGGTCTTTGCGTGATACTACACGAGATTAGCCGCAGTTACGTCTCCACTTTCGAAAAACTGGGCAGGCCACAAGATTGTCTAAGAGGGCCGGGGGGGGGGGGGGCAAGCTTATTATTTGGGAGCCGGCCCTGTGCTGTTCTTGTTCTGTAAATCGCCATCCTTGTCACTTACCACTAGAGGCAGCAGTCAGCTCTTAAACAGCATGTTGCGGAAAGGCTGCTGCTTAATGTGATCTCTGTAGCGTATAACCCCGCCTTTGTCCTCCCCCCCAGAGGAATCCTGTCGGCAGCCAGGCCATAACGGCAGCAGCCTTGGGGCACATTGGAAGTCCGTCAGCTTTCGGGAACCCAGTATCCAGCCTGCAGGGGATCAGTGGGCAGCTGGTCACCAACGCACAGGGACAGGTAGGGGGGGGCAGGGGGGGGGGGTCACCAGATATAGAGACTCATTATCTCTGGGATATGACCTCTGACTTCTGTTTCACACTCATCGTGTCTGTGCGTGATTCATTCTTTTTAATTCTGTTTTTCCTAAAATGCAGTGTGTCACTGTACGTTTGTGGCTAAGGGCTGAGCAAGGGTTAAGGTTAGTGTTAGGGGTTAGTGTTAGGGTTAGGGCCTAGGTGTTAGGTGTTTGGATTAAGGGTTAGAGTGTGAGGTAGGGTTAGGGTCCTGGCTTCATGGTGTTTGAGGCCCAGGCTGGACAGATGTCTGATTACGCAGGAACAGCCCCCTTTTAGGTCTCAGGGATGGGGGGGGACCGAATCGTCGCAAGACCTGCGCTGCGCGCGTTTAATTGATGTTTACATCATTTTCTCTTCTGGGGGGGGGGGGGGGGTTGGTGGGACGGCAGGTCTATCAGCTGCGGGCAAAGATGTCACAGCGGGTCACGGCAGCGACACCAGAGGCAGCGAGAGACAGACTCTAAGCGAGATCGACCTGCTTCCATCAGAAAAACCGGCCTCCCCCCTCCCCACACGCACACCCCCGGTGTGAGAGCGATACAGAGAAAAGGGACGGTGACCCAGATATGACAGGTGGCACTGTGGGGGTGGAGGCCTCCGAAATGGGGCTGATAGCATTTGCCAGCTTCGAGAGCCCCCCAGGTATGAATAAGTAATGAAGGAGAATTAAAGTGCTGACAGGCACATTATTAGACAGCCTCTTCCTGGGGCTTGTTAATGAATAACAGGTGCACTGGTCTGCACCAGTACACAAACTGGTACTGGAAGCTGTGGCGAGCATCACCATTGGCTCCTCGGATCTCAGGGAAACTGTGATTTAATGCATCAAACCGCGAGCGGGTGACCATGACCGTTGGTGCGATCACGCTCGTGTTGCCTCTGTCACTCACACCCCTCCGTACTCCCGTCCGTGGGCCAGATCATTGGGGCGATCCCCCTGCTGCCGAACCCATCCGGACCCTGCGGCCAGCCAGCCAATGGGAGCGTGGGCCTTTCGGTCCAGCCAATCGTGCCCCAGCTGCTCACCAACACCAAAGGACAGATCATCGCCACCGTCATCGGCAATCAGATCCTGCCGGTCATCAACACTCAGGGGATCACGCTGTCGCCAGTGAAACATGACCAGCAGGTAGGACCACCGCATGCCCAGCCTGCAAGAAACGCACATGCATGGATGCATCGTCCGTCCATCCTTCCATCCATCCATCCATTACAGGTGGCACAATGCCATTTTTTCTGATCTGATACGATACAAAAATTTTGAGTGTCTGCCGATACCGATCCAATATTTTTTCCCCTTTATCAACTACTAAGTATTAATTTAAATGAAATATTTATATCAGTACATTTCAATGGACATGGCAAACTATCTGTGTTTAGTGCTGTAGCAACATTGTTTCATTATGGTAGGAATAGGAAAGTAAAACAATAGCTATGCAGCCATGTTGCAGGAAGGAATGCAGCAGGATTTATAGACGTCTGCTTCTTTGTTTTATTTAGTATCAATTTTCTCAAAAATGAACAGAAATATGTTTTGCAAGTGCAGACTGTGCAATGTGCACATTAAACATAATAAAGAAATTATTCATGAAAATATCACTGTATACCCGAAAAAATGCAAAAAAAAAAAAACAATGGAGCACAGATACAACTTTTAAGTAGTAGTTAAGCAAACTTTAAAAAGAATACAACAGACATCTAGTTTGCATAAATGTTATTGTTTTCAGACTTAAGAAAAATCTGGACTAGCCTTAAGTACATCGCATTATGCAGTTTTGCTTTTTTTTCTTCCTTTAGAGTAAAGTGCTGTATTTCCACACAGCCAGATCAGTGCCATCTGTACTATCTATCCATCCATCATCTATCATCTATCCATCAATCATCCATTCCTTCCTTCCTATCTATCTATCTATGCATGCAAGCATCCATCTGTCCATCCATCCATCCATCCATCCATCCATCCATTCATACATCCATCCATCCAACCACGGGTGCTCCATGGCCTTTCATCCAGTATGCAGTCATGGTATGATGTCATGTATATATATTTGAAATCATTTCTCTCCTTAAACCCGCTGAGCTGAAGCTGAGGTGTAGGTGTCTGTCTAGCCAGTGGACATTTACAGCATAAACACCTTCCCGTCAGATTCACTGAGGGACACTGAGCCACCATAAGGCTGCCTGCCTTACCGGCAGCCTTGAAGACGCCAAAAGTGAAGGATCTTGTTGCTTGAAAAGCAGATCTGAGGCTTTGTGCCACCGGCTCTCAGGAACCCGTTCTCGGTCCTGCCAGGTCCCTGTTGTCCCTGTGATACTCCTGGAAGAAAGGGAGCAAACCCATGTCAGGTGGGGACGAAAGCCCTAACAGGGGACTGTGACATTCAGGGCATCAGGCCTGATCCAACGCGTCACCATTTCCTGAGTAAGAGGGACCTTCTCAAGGTCTTCCAGACAATGAATCAAATTCAGTTTGTCATCCTACCAAACGAAGCCTTTTGTGACAGGTCTCTGAATACAAACGCATTCTGTGGAGGAATTTCTGTCAATTGACTGTGGGAGCAGCTTCCTCTAGATGCTTTCTGTAGCCAACCCTTTGGCTGCACGCGCATGCAGACAGATGGAGCCCGTAGAGTGTCTCCACGGCAGAGGTGAACTCTGAGGCACCTTCCAGAGCAAAGGCAGAAGCATAACTGGATGGAGAGTAGCTCTTACTGTGTTTTGGGTAATTTGTTATGATTGTTCTGCTGGATGTCTGGCTCAGTACAGTTTAAAGCAGTACCAGTCGACCCAATTAGTGGCATAGGCAGCCGCCTAAGGCTCCATCTTCTGATTTAGCAAGCCAATTTAATTTTGTCTAGGTTGGGGGGGGGCTGTGAAGCTTGGTTTCTAGTGCCCAGACATGGCTGCTGCCACACCCTGGCATGTAGTACCTGCATGTGTTTCCGTGTGTATGATACCTGCGTGTGGTACCTGTGTATGATACCTGCGTGTGGTACCTGTGTATGATACCTGCGTGTGGTACCTTCATGTGTTACCTGTTTGTAATACCTATGTGTGGTATCTACATGTGGCACATGCGCGTGATACCTACGTATGGTACTTGCATATGGTACCTGCATGTGATACCTGCATGTGATACCTGCGTGTGATACCTGACTCTGACAGTGCAGGGTTTCTGGGGGTTTTACCTCAGGATAAGGACCCCCACCCCTCTGCTTCACAGCTGCCACCTGCCCCGCAACGCCAGCCCGGCCCCCCTTCGTCTCAGGCCAGCCTACTTCACCTCCCCCACAACCACGCCTTCTCCCCGAGTCCCATGCGTCAGGCCTCCTCCTCCTCTTCTTCCTCCTCCTCTCCCACCACTTGTCCCGCTTCTGGACTCAGTGTCGGTCAGCTGGTGAGAGGTGAGTATCTGCGATTCCATGCACTTCATATTGCAATCAGTGCCACATGCAGGATGGGAGAGTGACGGATGAAGCGCATGGTGTATTTCACCAATAAACAGCCCCAGTCATTGTGCATGTACGTGATTAGGGATTGCCACTGAGGCAACACGCTCCCATCTCTGTAATGTTATTTCCTGTTATTTCCAGGAAAGGTGAAATATTACAGCAGCCTGTCTGTGTTTATGGAAAAGGGAACAGTGCCATATCCCTCCAGACAGTTCTAGAAAAATCCTGACCATTACCGGGAGTGAAATTGACATCATAAAAAAGGTCGGACAGACTCGTCTCTGATGACGTTTGTTTGTTTGACTGTAATGAACGGTGACGTCTCCCACTGGTGAGGTGGTTTTAAAGGCCTAACTGGTCTCTGTACATATTAGCCTTTGATGTTTTACTGTGAGAGTGAGTCATTCGGTCACATGGAGAGTGATTTTCTTTCCAATTAATGTTTCAATGAAAGACTTTTTATTCACTGTAAGTATCGGCATTCTTTTCAATCTGGAATTTCAGACAGACATTATTAAATTAAGTTTAGCTATTTTAGGGCGATACAGTGGGCCACTCCTCCAGATTTGGGGCGCTGGATCCTGTGCGCTGTGACGGATGGACAATCTGTCCAGGGTGTACCCCTGACCTGTTCAACACCCCCCCCCCCTCCCGGTCCCTACCGAGGTTAATAGGTTGAAATATTGATGGATGGAATGATGGATGGGTAACTATATAAAACTGATTTGACGGAAATTAGCAATAGCATTTGAATGTTGATCACTTATCTGTCTTTGTGTAGCTGTGCTTATGAGGCACTCAAAACTTATGAAAAATGTTCTGTTGCACTGCAGTTTTCCATAGCCACTTATCCACAAAAGGTTAACAGTCAAACACATCATAAATTACCTAAGCTCGTCAACAGAAAGGCCCTTCAGTTAAAGTAGTTAAACAGTGTGTGAGGATTTTAACCAAAAGCAATACTCTTCTGCTGTTGTTCTTTTAATTAAAGAGAACCATTTTGATTAGTTTAATCTCCATTATGTACATAACGTTCCTAACAGATAGTGTATTTAAACTCTCCATCCACTTCTGCTGCTCTGTGAGAATGAGAATATATTTGTTAGTGCAATGGCATAGGATGGAGTTTGATATTGGAGGGAACACAACTTAATAATTTAAATACAAAGGTCTCTTTATTGAGGTGGATGAATGAAGCCAAATTAAACATTGGGGGGGGGGGGGGGGAGCCCCCCCCCCCCCCCCCCCCCCC